ACAGCAAAGTCACAATGTGAGTACAACATGGTCAAAACTACAATCAACCTATGAGATTACAAGTATAGCTGCTTAGCTAATATTGAGCCAATAGAGAAATGAGTCATGTAGTAAGTGTAGACAAAAAGAACAAAAGTATTTTTGAAAAGGGGTGGGCCTAGATACTCTGGCCATCCACCTGGGTGACTGATGCCTATCTGGACTTACAGGACCAAGTGGTGCTAATTACACTATAATTTAAAATTACTGCTTAACCTTTAGGGAGGCATGTAAGCCTGGCCATTGGATTTTCAGCTTGAGGCATGGCATTTTTTCAGATGTACCACCAGCCACAGTTCTGATGTCTTTAATTTTGTGTTGACTTCCTTGAAGGCCAATCCCTCTCTGACAATACATTAATTTCTATATGACTTAGCTTCCTATACTAAAGGAACACTTAACTTTGGGTGTCAGATATTTTTCCCAGCACCAAGGGAAGTCTGACTCCTTTCAGATGGTCAATAAAAGCCCTTTAGAACTTCACCCCAACAGACAAGCCAGGAACCTTCCTCCAGCCACGAACCATAGCATGCTCTTCTGTGTCTTTGACCACCTCATCTCACAGAGTCTTTAAACACTGGTATGGGTGGGAGGACATGTCTCTGCCTCTTCCAGGGAAACTGCAGAGGCACAAAGAGCTCCCACACCACATCTGCAGACACTTTGGGTTGCTAGGTAAAGGGTGCTTGGATTTTACTGATGGGGAAGGACTATCATCACCAGGATGCTCTAACTGAACATTTGTAGTCAGTGTTTCAGTTAGTTTTCTTTTCAAGGTGATGACAAAATATCTGTGAATAAGAACTTAAAAAGAGGAGGTTTATTTCAGCTCATGTTTTAAAGTTTCAGTCCATGGTGAGCTGGCTCCATTGCTTCAAGCATGTGATGAGGCACAAACTTTACAGTGGAAGGGAGTGGTAGAGGGAAGCTGCTCACCGCATGGCAGCAAGAAGGAGATAGAGATGGGTAGAGAAGAGAGAGCCTGCTGAAGGGGCTCCTCTTTCTCCTGCTTTTGTCACACCCAAGCCCCCAGCCTATTGAGGAAGCCCCTCAGTTAGCTGCCCACTGTCTCTGCAAACTCCCATTACTAACTTCCAAATATCCTTTGCTAACTTGTGAGGCATCTCTCAGTCAGTTGGGCTGGCTATCAAATTAAGCCATCACAGTGTTCCTGCCTTCGGGCAGATTTCAAGCATCTACAAAGAGTTTTTCCAGAAATGGAGGCACTGGCCTAGCACTCAAAAGATGTTCAGGATGTCAGGTTTCACAAGGTTCTGGACATGCTGGAGGGCAGAGGGGCTCTGAAGAACCTGAGAGACATGGTGAGGCCCCACAGCTGCCTGGGTGGTTCAGAGATGTAAGGAGGGATGTTAAAGAGTTATGGGAGGGAGGAGTAAGATGCCAGGGAGTGGGAAAACTGGTCAGGAATGTAGCTCACCGGCAGAACACCCTGAAAGAGGCTTCAGCCCACCCCTTGGTTATCACTCTAGACACAAAGGACACCGGGGAAATTACACGACAATGGTGACATTACTAGCAAGAACACCTGTCTCCTAAAGCTGGAAGAGGACCTCTCTGATTATTGGAAGGGCTGTTGTCACACCACGTTAAAGGATCTGGGAGAGAACTCGAGCAATCTGTGGTTCAACGCAAGGTCCTTCATTTTTGTCTGTTACAGTAGAGATCTCAAATTTTATTCATTACAGGTGTTCAGAGGTGACACTTTGGGATGGTGACTGGATCATGAAACAGCTATGTTCATAAGTGGATTAAACTACTGAATGTGCTATTAGAAGGTGGGGCTGGGTCAGAAGAGGGGTCACTGGGGGCGTAAGCTGGGTGTATTTTGTCTCTGGCTCCTTGCTTCTCTCTATGCCTCCTTTTCTTCTGTCTCAGTTACTTTTTCCTCATTGCTGAGACAAAATACCCAATCCCCAAAGTTAACGGGGAAAGATTTATTTAGTTCATAGCATGCACAAGGGACCAAAACCAACAAGGAACCTTAACAGTGTATGTCTGTTCCCTTTCATCTTAATCAGGCTACTCAGAGCAGGTAGCACTCACACCCTTAATCCCAGTGCCTTTGAACCTTGTATTGCACCATGAATCAATTCCAGCACACACTAGATCCAACCACCTCTGAAAAAGCCCCACCTATGACATAAGGCTTTGTGGGACATCTAAACACAAGCCATAACACCTCCATGCCCTTACAGCATGATGTTTCTGCCTTGCGGCCATCTTATGGACAGAACCCTCTAAAACTATAAGCCACAGTAAATTTCTCCTTTAAGTTGTGACTGCACCCCAGCTCAAGAGACCACTCTCTTCCTTCTGAAGGTTCCTCAAAGGTGGCAAGCATTTGAGAGCACAACTTTAATCAGATGGAGGAAGCAATCTACTTTCTCCTGTCAGAAGTCTTTCTGGGCCCTGCACATTGAGTATGTGGTCCTGGCTCTGAGCCTGGTGGAGGGCTGTGAGCTGGAGCTGCTGGGGCCGTCACCTGCTCTACCCTTCTCACAGCTGCTCAAGCACACATGGGACAGACTGGAAGCCTTGGCAGCTTTTGCGGGTTTGGGGTGGGACTGGGGAACTTATTTTTACAGCCAGGGAAGGTGGAGCCAGTAAGTCCCAGCAAAAAGCAGACTGGGCACTAAGACCAGCACAGCAGTCTCTGCACTGGGCCACCTGGCCCATCTTGTCCCCCAGTCCTGAGCCCTGCCTGCAGAATCTTTGCACCAGCCCACCCGACTCTGTGGACTGAGGCCTTCCACTGGTAAGGAGAGCAGTGCTGAGCCCAGGAAGATTCCTGTTGTCTGCTCCTGCAGTCTGATCCACTGCAGCCCTCCCATCCCCGACCCCCATCCCTCCAGGTGCTCCAGCCAAAGCCAGGCCCACTTTTACTCTGCTATCATACTCCCACACCCAGTCTGCTGGGAAGCCTTCAATACACGTCCTGAATCTGCTCACTCGTCACCACATCCATTGCAACCACCTGCCATCTTGTTCTGAGATAGGTTCTAACCAAGTAGTTCAAGCTGGCCTTAAACTATGCAGTCCAGGCTGGCTTCGAACTTGAAGTAACTCTCTTGCCTCAGCTTCCTGAATGCTGGGATTATAGATATGCACCACTATTCCTGGTACCATTTCTTGTCTCAATTACAGCAACTGTTTAATTGGTTTCCTGCTCCTGTCTTCCATTTTGTATCAGGCAGCTGAAGCGTTGCTTTTCAAATAGGTCTTGTCACTCCCTTGCTCTAAGCCTCCAATGCCACAGAGCAAGAGCCAGGCCTGTGGTGGTCTTGAGGGTAATCCATTACTCCCCTGCCTGTACCTCCCTCTTACAAAGGAGACTGACAGCTGTAACCAAAGACAGGCTCCCCAGAGGTGCACATGCCATCAGGCAAACTGTCCAACTGCACCACTTCCCAAGGCTGGGCTGCTCAGGAGCAGAAATAAATCAATGTATCCAAAGGCCACAAGATCTTCACACAGCATCTTCAGATAGGAAACAACTGCTTTGTGCACTTTAAAATGCCAAATATAAAGCAGACAAATCCATATTCTTTATAAAGTCCTTGCTATTTTTGAGCTGTGTAAAGCCAACAACCTCCTAGTGCATAGGACATGGTGGATATAAACTGGTCTCATTCTCAGGGCCACCCTAGAGATGCAGAAGTTGGGAAAGTGCCCTGTGAGGACAAGAGAGACTTAATCGGTCACACTGAGCGACAGAGGTCAGAATAACATTCAGACCCACTGCCTGAAGCTTATGCTTTAGCTATTCACACTAGTGACACCTTTGAAGCTAATACAGAGGAGATATGTCTATGACAAGGAATCAAACAATATGAAAGGATTATGTTTTAATTCTCTAATTCTACATAAGAAAAACAAAAGTTCCAAAGAAGTGAAAGGCTTGGGTCTCATACTGAATCCACAGATCTTTCCAATAAATTTTCTCTGATTATAGCTAATTTTTTTTTTTTTTTTTTTTTTTTTTTTTTTTCCGGGATTTTTCTTATTTTTTTTTTTTTTTTTTTTTTTTTTTTGGTACCGGGGATCAAACTCGGGTCTTTGCACTTGCGAGGCAGGCCACCGAACCGCTGAGCTAAATCCCTGGCCCTTGATTATAGCTAATTCTAAAGAGTTTGAAAAATGCTGTGAGGAATTAGAATTTTCCTCACAGTCGTGTGGCAGTTTCTGCAACCACAAATGAAACAAACCAGAATGGCACTTCAACTTTAAAAACCTAAATTTGAGCACAAACTGCAATGATCCTTACAAGTCTAATACTTGACACAATATTAAGAGTACAGAATGCTTTGTAATCCAAATCTTGTGAATGAAAACACAGCAGGTTGAAAGTGTCACTCAGCCACAAGGAGGGATGCAGAAGTGGGGGAGTGGGGAGAGACAATCCTGGTGTGGGTGGTAGAAGAGATGACATAATGCTTAATCTATTATCATCAAGAGGCATAGGGGTAGGGTACAAGATGGCTAAACACGTTTTAGAGCTGATGGCAGTGGGCAAACTGAGGTCAGCTTAGAGTGGGAAGATCTACCTACACCACAGTTGGTTCACACCTGTCTGCAGCAGGCCGGGCAGACAGACCCTGCTGGTTCCTGCCAGCATTCTTCCTGATGAGACTGCTCCCAGACCCACAATCCTCATCCCTAAGGCAGACACAACTGTAGAGCTGAGCTTTGGCCAGAGACAAGATGCCCATTTGCTCTCACTGGGCTGAGCAGCAAGTAAGAAACTTGAAGCTGAACTCATTCTCCTTTTATCACAGTGCAATACTGGATTTCTGTTCATCTAGGTTCGAAAATAAACTTGCTCTTTTGCCTTGGGGGAGGATAAGACAATTCTGTAGAGGGACAATGACTACTTTAGCCTCTGAGGGCCATGTAGTCTCTGTCACAATTCAATTCTGCTGCTATACTGAGAAAATAGCCCACAAAATAACAAACAAACAAGGCTATGTTCCAATAAAACTTTATTTATGAACACTGAAATCTGAATTTCATATACTTTTCTCATGCTACAAAATATTCAACCTTCTAAAAAATCATTACTTTTTTTTTAACCTTTTTAAAATTATTTTTAGCTCACAGGATGTACAAAAACAGACAGTGGATAGACTGGCCCACTGACCAGTTTGCTGACCTAGAGTTGAGACTTTTTTTTTTTTACTTATTCTTCAACATGCAGAGCATGACCTGTTGCCCAAATAGGCTGTAGCTGTATTACATTTATTTTAGCTGAAATTTTTTCTTTTTATAGTACTAACTTCAACCATTCATTTGGCACCTATTCAGATTTGGGTTCTGTGCAAGAGCCTTCCATGGGACGCTGCAGGACTGTCAAGATATGGCTCTCCTCTGAAGTTCTCATGCCATCTTCTCAGATCCTGACATTATGATTCTCACAGTATCAGAAAAGACAGCCAAAAGTGCATTTAAATAGTACAGATAATTTATGAGATATTTGTATGAAAGTCTTAGTGCTGCTATAACAAATTACTACAAACTGTGTGGCTTGCAACAACAGAAACTCTCTTTTTCAAATCCTAGAAAACAAAAGTGTGAAATTTAAACATCAGCTGGATTAGTTCCCTCTGGGTGCTCTGACGAAGACTTCAGGCCTCTCCCTTGGTATCGTGGTTCTAGCAATTTTTAAGCCTTCCTTAGCTTGTATAAACAGTGCTTGCCTCTCCTTCTGTCCTCCCATAGTTTCCACTATGTCTGCTTTCCTTTCTCTGCTAAGAACTGTCATTGGATTTATGGTCCACCTTAATCCCAGATGTCACCTCCAGCTCCTGAATTTCACCTGCAAATAAGGTCACAGGTACAGGCTCCAGACACACATCCTTACAATTTTCTCAGAAGATTCCCAGAAAGACATAGCCAACATTATCCAGCAAACTTCATGAAGGAGGTAACATAAGCTGATCCTTGAAAGATGGAGAGCTGGTGTTCGTCAGATAGGCATGAAGGAGGAAGAAGGCAGGCTAAGGTTCTAGTAAGATCAGTTATGGAAGCAATGTCACAGGAACTGAAACAAGCTGTAAACAGCAGGCCGTTGAACTCGGCCAGAGAACTTGGTATGAAGTAGGAGCAGTGAGGAGGCTGGAGAAGACAGCACAAATCTGAGCTGGAAGGGCTGTGGGGCTGTGTGTGCCGTGACCTGGCACTGTTAATTCAGAAGGTTAAGGGCAGGCTCTGGGATCTTCGTTCATGGCTGCCCATTTCAAGTGGATCATACGGCAGATGCTCTTGTCACTGAGCCACTGGCATGGCTGGATCAGACAGGCTTCAAGCAGCTTCTCCCAACCATGAGATTTACATTCCATGATTTAGGTTTTATGAACCTGAAGTACAAACAGTAGTTTTCTCACACTAGTGACTTCACGACCTTCTGTTTTCTTGCTGGAGTCCCTCTCGTGCTCATGCTATCAATTTTAAGGGCTGCTCTTCCTTCCACACAACTTTGCTTTACATTGTTGCCCTTTCACTCCTGACAACTGAGAATCAAGTTTTCTTTCTACTACTGTGTCTGTACAGAAGTAAATCAAGAAGAGTTAGGTCAATATCCCTGGTCATATTATATACAGCAAAGTGTTAAAAGTAATTAATATTATTTACATAGACAATGGGAGAAAAATTCCATGGAAAAGACTCCCTTGTCTATCCTCTGAAAAAAGGAGATATTATGTAATCTTTATATGCATTCCATAAAAATATACACAGGAAACTTCAGAAACAAAACTTTTGTTTTTTCTAAAAACATCAGTAACCAAGCCACACTTAGAAAAATGAAAGCTGATTTTTATTTTATCATCAACAGCCATTCTTTAAACATGAACATGCATACGTAATATTCTACGCACACATCACAGTTTTTAACGTTAGTTAATAAAGGTTAAACACACAACATACATCCTTACAAAAAAGGTCAAAATGCAAACTTAAAACTTTAAACAAAAGTCTTACTAATTTAAAAAAAGTTTGTGTTGGGTACCATTTGTACAACACAGTTAATTTAAACATTTTCATTTTGGCTGCACATGAAAAAAGCGGCAGTAGAAAATAAAGTCATTGAGGGTTTTTAAATAGCAGAATAGGCAATTTTGCCATGCAGGAGAAGCAATATTAAATATTAGTTTTCAAAAAAAAATCCACATTTAAAAATATTTAGTTCAAGTCACAGAATTTTTCTCAGTAGAGACCCCAATGCAATGCATAATTAGCTGCCTTAGATGGCCTGTCTGAAAGGACATCTCCCTTCAGAGTATAACTGTACTGATTTTGGCACAGAAAAGAAGTCTTAAGAACAAGAACATGATTAAAAAAGAGGGAAGAGGAACAGAGGAAAAGAATAAAAGCAAGAATAAATGAGATAGTAATTGCAATCACTAAAAAAACTGTGCATTCTCAGTCATTGCAGAATACTGTCTTCTGTCTACAGCAGGTGCTTACTCCAGAACTGTTATTGCAGCATGGATTTTATTTGCTTGGAGGTAGTCTCATCATTCAAATGTTTTGTTGTGTACCTAAAAGATAAACATTGATCAAATTTAGGGAATTAAACTCTGCACTGGGTTCTGTAAGTAGGACAAATGAACTAGCCAGACAAATTTCTCACAGAAAGCTGTCTTCTCACTGTGGCTTTAACTGTATGCAGGTTGTGTACCTCATCCTCCACATCACCAGAGAATGACCAACTGCTACTTCACTTAGTTGTAACCACTTTGCCAAAATGACTGGGTAAACTCTCACATTAACAATTAGCTGCCTGGGGCCAGGGATGTAGATCAGAGGTGCCGCGCCTGCCTGGCAAGTGCAAGGTTCTGAGTTTGATCCTCGGGACCAGAAAAAAAAAATTAATTAATTAGCTGCCTCTTACTCAGAGAAAAATAACTGCTCTAAGAAGTGAGCCGTATATATATATGGATGGCACACTTAAGTAGCTATAGCACACTATGTGGCTCACAGAGGCTAAATATTTTCTTATTCTCTGGCCCTTTATTGGCTCTGTTCTATTCTGTATTAGAACAGCTCTACTACTACAGTCCACAGCCCTAAAAATCCTCAGTTCTCTAAGTGCCTTAAATTTCCAGGCAGGTATATTTTGCTCACACATGCAAGTCTCCAAAGTAAGAATCCAAAATAAACACTTTAATAATAGGATGATTAATACATGAAGATTCACCACAGACTCCTTCAAATAGCAGAACTCCAATGAGAAAACCTGTGTAGACAGTGTTCTAGGAGCTTCCTTCCTTGCAGAGGCAGAAAGATAATGAGGCACTAACCCTGCAGAAGGGGTAGCCAAGAAGCAAAAGTGGACAGTACTAGAAGAGGCTACAGTCACAGGGAAAAACTGGCTCATATGTCTGGCAATTAAGCATGATGAAAGCCACTGGAGGATATCAAGCAGGGGGAAGTGTGACTTTATGTTGTGAAAGGATCATTCAGGCTGTTGGGGAGTGCAGTAGGGAGTATGAGGACCCTCAGGGGGACCCATCAGGGAGCATCCACCAAGAACCCAAGGAGAGATGCCTAAGGCTTGGACCATATTACTAGTGATGGCAACAGGTGCCTAATTTTGAGGCAGAGTCTCACTAAATTGTTTAAGCTAGCTTTGAACTTGTATTCCTCCTGCCTCCTGCCTGGAATAGGTGGAATCACAATAGGCAAAACCATGCCTGGCCATTTCATGTATAATCTTCATGGACTCTTACCATTTTAAATAAGTACACAGAGGTGATCTTTCTGTTAAATAAACTTAAACTGTTAGGTTCATTTCAAATAAATTAAAAAATGTAAATGCCTGTATTCAAGCAAATCTTTGAAGAGGTAAATAAAACATAAGCCAGGTGTGGTGATATACAGCTATTAACTGCAGCACTCTGGGAGGCTGAGGCAAAAGAATCACAACTTTGAGTCCAGCCTGGGCAACTGAGCAATTTAGTGAGACTAGGTTTCAAAGAGAAGGAGGGAGATTTGGGGATACAGCTTAGCACAGTGGTGGCAAACTTAAAACATGCATGATGCAGCGGGCTGTCTGTATTTCTGAAAGCTCTAAAAGGTTTGCCATCACTGGTTTGGTGCAGAGGTCTTGGGTTCAATCTTCACTTGGCGGGGAGAGACAGGAAGGAGGAGGGAGAGGGACAGATACACACATACACTTATTATGATATTTAAATGCACCTGATATTAAATGCTCTCTACAATGACACTTGCCAACCATTTCCCTATTAATGAATAGTCATTGGAGTGCTGGCATATAAGAAGTGCTCAGAAAATATTTATGGAAGAAAGAAACAGTAGACTGCCAGGCTGGAAAGAAAAATCCTTAAGGAATATTTACCTTAAGGGCAAAGTGATGGCACAAAGATAAAATTTTATCTACACCAATAAGGCATACATAGTTACATGTACCCTATTAATGCCAGAAAATAAAAGTTCTCAACACCCACCTCTTTCTCATGCCTGTTCTTTAGTAAAAAGAGCCATAGAATGTGCACAATAAAATCTCTACCACAGAAATTAGACATATTATTGCTCAACAATGTCCTGTAACATTCAAAGACCTGAAATTGCCTTCCTCTCTACTGTGACCCAACTCTCTCTTCTGTGAGATGCAAATACACTTCTAGCAGGTCTCAGATCCTTCCCTGGACCAAGCCAATCCAGAGTGAGTGGGCTGTACTGTGCTGGGAACAGTACAGCACTCCTGAGTTCAATCTCCAGCACTGCTAAAAAGGTGTGTGTGTGTGTGTGTGTGTGTGTGTGTGTGTGTGTGTGTGTGTGAGAGAGAGAGAGAGAGAGAGAGAATACCAGCTTTATGGTTCAAATAGTTTGGCATTATACAGGTTTTCTTTTTTTGTTTTTTTTTGTGGAACTGGGGATCAAACTCTGGTCTTTGCGCTTGCGAGGCAGGCCATATATAGGTTTTCAATTAAGGTTTTTTTTTTTTTTGGTACCGGGGACTGAACTCGGGTCTTTGCTTGCAAGACAGGCCACCAAACCGCTGAGCTAAATCCCCGGCCCTCGATTAAGTTCTTTAATCCTTCTAATGTTCACCTGGAACAGATCTCTTATATACAAATAATAACTGTTACATAGCACTTTTCATAATCTTAACAATGATTTGAAGGTGTCATGGAGATGAAATGACACAGACTACATTTTGCTTTATGATATAAACTACATAATTGCTTTAATTTTTGTTTATATACCAAATAATCAAGAATGAAAAAAAAAATCATCTTTTAGGCTAGGAAAATTACACTACCAATTAAATCTCTGTAGTCAAGATATTCTAAAGTGCTAAGATTTTCATTTAAAAATATTCCAGTATTCTTAGGAGCTTTAGGAACTATATTAAGAATAATCTGGGCCGGAGATTTGGCTCAGTGGTTCTGCTGCCTGCCTTGCAAGCACAAGGGCCCGAGTTCAATCCCCAAGAATAATCTAAGAAAATACATTAATGATTGCTTTATTTTCATTATAAGAAATGCACAAAAACACAGATATGAGACGTTAAGGGAAAAAGCTAGTTATAAAACACTGTATAGTACTCCTTTGTAAAAAGATGCCTATTGAGCTATGACTATCTCCATGTGTAAAGAAAGCACACTAGAAGAATATATATATTAAAGTGTTAGCAGTGATTTATCTGAACATGGAGAGACCACTTGATTTCTTTTTCTTTAAATTTTCTAAGTTTTTCTGGATTTCATTTACAATTAGCATTATTACTTTTATTTTAAAAAGCAATAAGCAATTCTATTTTATTAGGGGTAAAAAAAGCCAAAATCTTCAAGGAAGAAATAAAGCTGCTATTCTCATTTGTGCACACACATCCTTCATGACAAAACACAACCAATGACTGGAAGCAGGACTACCCACAGGCAAAATGAGAACTTCTAGGTCTACTCTGAATCCTTTCATACATCCTTTAGGTGCTATTCATGTTCTGAAGCATTTTCTTCAAACACACAAAAATCAAACATTCTCTTTGCATATTTCTTCTACACATAGGTACACATACATTTACATACCTGAGAGCATTTAAAAGACCTTCTACACTATTAGGAGGTTGGTCCTTAAGAACTTTGATACAACCTTTCATCTATAGAGGAAAGAAAATGGAAAAAGTAAAATATCTGCTTTTCATATAACGTTAATTTTCAACACAATAAAATAAAATCAGGACAATTACTGAGCTCAAAAAACTACATATCAAAAATACCAAATTGTTTACTCTTAGAATAGGGATAAAAGACAGGAAGAAAACAAAACAAAACAACTCTAAGTAGTACTATTTTTTCAGTCAGTGAAACAAAACTTTTTGAGAACCAAACCAGTCAAAGTATCACCCACAGTAATGAAAAACAAGGAGTTTTTTGCTAAGGGTCAACTCTCTTGTTAAGTAGCAATTTAAGTACACTATCAAGGAAAAGAGGCACTTTCCAGGTCAAAGTAGCCCTTGGAGGACAGACAGAAAGCTTTCAGGGCTGAGCGGAACCAGAACTGAAAGCCAGGATGACTCATGTGAAACTGATTGGCCAGCTAGGCAAAGGGACTCACTGCAAACTGGTAGAAAAGGGAACTCAATAAAAATGGAGAAGATTATTAGTCTGGTCACTGTGAAAAAGCACAGTGTAACAGAAAGAACAGGGGCTTTAGAAGCCAAGACACAAAGGTTAACCTTCTGTCCTACCATTTACTACTAATTCTATTACTTAATTTCCTAAAACCCAGTTGCTGTTAGTGAGAAGATAACACCGACATCCATTCGTGTGAGAACAGATGTTAAAATTCCTCCACGATTAATGTTAACTGTTTTCTTTTTATAAGGTAAATGTACATGAAGGTGTAAAGACTGGCTGGCCATCTATATCAAGACCCAAAGTGCTACGAGCCTGAACTAGCTATGCAAGGGAAGCCAGCAGACCATTCTCACCAAACACTGGGAGAACGCTGTTTAACAGTGACAGCATGATGAGACTACAATGTAAAGCAGCTGGAACATGACTTCACTTCTAAATTTCTGAGACAAGAAAAGGAGATATGTGGCTACTGTCACAACTGACTATGAATGAGCAGAGGGGAGAAAACATGTAAAATCTTCCACTTTTCCACTGAAACACCACTAACTTTTTGTATACACTCTGAAATAAACTTTTCCTTGAAAGTAGCTTTTAGCCAAAGAAATTAAAGGACGCAATTAGAAAATTTCTTCTATCTCTATTGCCAATATGTAGAGGAACCAACCTATGGAGATAATCCATAGTGTAATTATCCTTCAATTATTTAATTCCACCAGTATACAGGCTCTCAGAACTATGACAAGAAAACAGAAAATGAAAATGTACAACTATCACAAACTATGATGAAGTTCTGTGAAAGTCCAGCCTGCTAGCTCTTTAAATAAAAGCCTGTAATTTTCATATAAAAATTATTTGAAACTATACACAGTATATAACTTACATCAATTTTGGACGTTTTGGCAAATGCTCCCACTGGATGTACATGGTCATACAGTATTATGACACCCACCATTACCCTCAAGCAGAATGATACTGTCTCTTCATTTGTAAATCTGCTTCTGTATTCCCTAGAGGGTAGAGAAGATGTGGACGATGAGAACATCACAGAGCTCATTAATAAGCTGACTCCTCTTTCAGCTGGCATCTACCCACCCCTTCAGTGTCTAACAGGGATGCTAACATTATGCCCCTTCTCCACACTATGATCAACAAAATGAGAGGTGGTGGCAGAACAGTTACCATCCACATATTCTGTCTCTAGAGGGCTGCACACCCTGAGTATATACCCTTCTGTTTGCCAGAGAGCGCTGTAGTAAAAGTTTAGAGATGGGTGCTGTATAATGGCTACTGCCAATAATATGACGAGAAATTCACTAGCTTAATAGAGCAAGTAGGTTCGATGTTTTAGGGGCTGGTTGGTCCATACACACTGTATTGCTCAATTTGAATTTTACTAAAATTCAATTATATTCTTTTCTCAATTGGGAAAGAAAAAAAGAACTTTTATCTATGTAGAAAGCAGGGTGCTATCTGAGTAGGATTGGCCACTGTGTTCAAGTCCCTTCACTTCCCGGGACCTCTTCCCTTACACAAGGAGATGAATGGGTGACAGCTGCTATCTCACGTCATGAGGTTTCGTACAGAAGAGTACTTGAAGTAGCGCAAAACCCAAGTTACCACATATTCAAAAAACCAAGGAGGACTCTCTGCGTACTGACAGGAAAATCCAGCCAATACACACACATGGTGGTATACATCACAATGCTTTAGAGAAGAGAAGACAGTCAGAAGAAAATTCAGGTTCATGTTAAAAAACAAAAAAAAAGAACTAAAAGTGAGAAAGGGATAAACAGAAAAATAACAAGCCTTTGGGAAAATGGCAATGTTTTTAAACACAACACTGAGAAACATGTTTATAATTAGCATAACTAAATACCTTTGCTAATTCCCTTTCCTGACCAAAAGAATACCACACAACTCCTATCCTGGAGAAACTATCAAATTAAGTCTCACTGGTCTGATGTACTTGAAAACTATCTCTATGCTTAATCAGACATTCAGCTGCAAAACTATTTGAATTTTGTTCATATGTGCATATACAATAGTTACAATAGACTTTATTTCCACCTTCTAAATAAGACCCATTCATATTTGGGCATTGTGAAATACCAATTGATCTCAACAGTACCGTTACAGTGACAAAATTCAGCCAGAATACTCACGGTGTTTCCAGCATGACTCTGCATACACTAGCCATGGTGCTTAAACAGTCAGTGGTATTTTCTATTGGTAAGTTTTTATTCTGTAAGTGCATGGAGGAAAAAAAAAAGTAACAAAGGTATTAAGAATATTAAAAGTTAGCATTCTATGAAAAATTAGCAACTTTATAATCTAACTCCAAATTTTCTCAATAATGTCCTAGATTCCAAGCACTGTTCTGAGCTGTGGGGACACAGCTATGTGCAGAACAGCCAGGACCTCGCGGTCACAAGAAGTGGGGACAAGCCAGCTTCATGAGAATGGGGGGATGTTCATGCCCATATAGAGTAGAGGGATCGGGCCTTTCTTGAAGGACACATGGTACCTGCATTTTATTTTAGGAGTATAAGAAATCACCAGAATCGTTTTCAGCAGAGGAGGGAGGAAATGTGGTTTATGTTTTGTTACTTGGCTGCTCTATGGAGACAGAACTATAGGAGAGGCGGGAGTGGAGAAGTAGACTAGTCAGAACACAAATGCAACGATCCAGATGAGAGGGTAGTGGTCTGGCATAGACAGGTAATAAGAGTATGGGTTAAATTTTCAGATTCACAATGTTTTTTTGGAAGGAAAGCCAGTAAAACTACTCAATGAAGTAGATGTAGAGAGCAAGATGAAGGAAGAAATTTAAAATAACTCCTAAATTGTTGTGGTCTGCTTGTACACTGGTACTATTAAAACCGAGAAAATAAAGACTAGAGGAAGGATGGGATTAGAAAAGACAACCAAGAGTCCAGTCAGGCCATGACCGCGCGGCACTGTCAGCAGTCTCTGGAGAGAGGATGCAAACAGTACACATATGTGCACCTGAAGACCTCAGGAAGGCCAGGATCCAATGTCTACATTTCGGGACTCAGCTCACAGATGAGATTTAAAGTGCTGAGATCATCACCTGGAACAGGCTGATGAGCACCAGCGCAAACCCTGACTTTCCAGGATGCACTCACCTCTGATACAAACTTGGTCGTAGCATCACTTAAGGTTTTCAGCATTGGGGTTGCCTCTGCGTAAAACAAAGACATTCGATTTGCCAATTCATTGTTCACTTCATTTTCTCCTTCTGCCTGAGTAGAAAACATGAGCGCCGGGTATTAGCACATCAATTAATAAATATGGTATTTTTATGTACAAAAGAACCATGACAGTACTTGTCTTATTAAACTAATCCAGTAAATATCCTTAGTAAATTATATTTTGGATCTTCATATGCACATAAAGATATTTAAAAACAAAAAGATAATGAATGATACTAAGTGATTTTTTAAAAACATTAATCCTAAAATATTTTAAACAATGGAATTAAATAAATCCTTGATGCATTTCCTACTGTATACAGAGACTGTTCTAAATGTGACAAAGGACAAAAATGATGATGACACTGTCACCTAATCCTCCACCATGAACACATGGCCTACACAACACCACAATGAAATGCTAACCAGCACTGACACAGAAAGGAATGAGAAAAATATTCAATTATACTAGAAGACACTAAGGAGTCACGGAAGAAGTAAGCTTTTGCAGGTGAAGATGGACACATGAATAAGGTATTCCTATCCAGCAAGGAAAAAATATATTTCAAATGACTCCAGAGATTGTGTTTAAGCATATTCGGTGTAAAGGGGGTAGGTAATTACCAAGACTAAGTTGGGGTCAGATTTCAGAATGCCTTCAAATGCTAGCTTAAATTCATGTTTTCCTTTCAAGTGGAACGGTAAGCCATTTGAAGTGTTAGAAAAAGAGAATAGCAGTCAGTTGTCTAAGAAAACTAACCCATGATGGTAAGAAGATTGTACCACAAAGGAAACAAGACTATAGGTCAGAAAATAAGTTACGCTGCTACAGAATGACTGTCCCAAAGGGCAGGAATTGGGTTCTCAATTGGAATAGAGTAGAAGATGAAAACAGAGGCTGAGGAGGAAATCTGAGTGGCATCTCACTGCAAAACTACTGGCATCATCTATCATTACTGATTCTGAACGACAGTACAAAAATATTTTCTTGTCCTTGACCTTTCAGTGATGGCTATACCAAAAGATAGGGTGTTTTGTTTTTATTTTACATAGTGGAAATGTATAAGACAGATAAGGAAATCGGCTCTACACTAGGAATTGGTCTGCGTAAAACCAAACTGATGCAAGTAACAGATGTTTCATGGGAAAAAAAATCTTTACTTCTTTTGAGAGTAACCACTTTAAAAAAGTATATTTTCAATGAAAAGAAAGGCTCCTCGGGCCAGGGATTTAGCTCAGTGGTTCCGCCGCCTGCCTTTCAAGCATAAGGACCTGAGTTCGATCCCCGGTACCAAAAAGAAAAAAGAAAAAAAACAAAGGCTCCTTTGGAATTTTTTTTTAGTCTTTCATTTTACTAACCACTCTAAACAGAGTTAAAAGCATTTCTCCACTAAACTACCTGAGACCACAGTTGATCTTTGAAATTTTGCCACTTCTCACACCAATCAGCACAATATAGGTCCTCAAAATAGGAAAAAGATACTCTTCATATCTTAAATTTTACTTCTAATACTAAACTCCTTAGAAGTAGGGAAGCATACCTGTTAACAGGAGCTTAAGAAGAGGATGGCAAGAGATTAACAGGCAAAAAGAAATCAGAAAAGAAGCTGTGCTAGCCAAGGATAAGGCCAAGAAGCCATTTATTTTCTTGGGAGCCATAATTAGGCACAGATGTGCAAGTAGTCCAGGGCCTTCCCTCTCAACATTATCAGTAATTTTTTCTTATTCAAGGTTAATTTCTTTCCAGGATTCTTTAGTTCTAAGAACATGAGGACAAAAAAACCCTCAAAACCACTAACTGAAAAAATTTCTGTACAATTAAAATGAGAATACAAAGAAAAGATTATAGCATGTATGTTACACAGACAAAAAGTAATGTTATTGAAGTAGTCATGGGGATTTAAGTCTGAAAGGAAAAACACAAAAATAGCATATCGTCTGTTAGTTTGCTCTCTCCTCACACAGCTGTGGTTGTCCATAATTACTAACTTTAATGATAGCTTTAACATCTGAATGAATGGGTGAATGAATGAACAAATGGAAGAATAAAATGAAGAACGGATCTGCTCTTACCACCCCCTAATTCAGGGCACTAACTTACTGGAACATTATTAATCCTCATTCGACTCAACGTTCTTCTGTAATAGCTGAAATCATTCTGTATGGCAGGATTTGTCATCTAAAGAAGGTATTTATGAAAGAAAAATGTGTTATAAGCCAAAAGTGAATGTAACAAGTTGAAAATCTATATATAGTTTTAACTAGTTATGCAATATCCTCTATTTTTAAAGTCATTTGAAATACAAATGTGGTATCATCTAAGAAAGCTTAAAACATCGTACCCAATTCTTTCTGAGCATATAAAATCATACAGATTGTTTTTCAGTCAAGGGCAATATATTTTCTTTTCAGTATTTTCAGATAACAAAAAGCTTGTTTACCAAAAAGATGGGTATTACAAAAACAACCAAGAAGAAATGTACAGGCATTGTTTTGAGTAAGGATGTGTGTGTATTTATATTTAATGAACAGGGTAATCCTCAAGCAGACCAAAATATTATATAAGTATCATTTGTAAAATTTATAAATATCATTATTAACGAGAATTATCAATTGTCTATGATATAACCATAAATTGTCAAAGTTAGGAATCCAGCTCTTCCGTTTTCTAGAGTGGGTACTCAAATCCTTGAAAAATCACAGGACATGCCTAAGGTCTAATAATTACCTACTGTGCTGGAGCCTGAACTGAAATCAGGTCTCCTGGCATGAAACCAGTACTTATTCCTTTATACTCCACCCTTTCCAACAGTGCATCTATAAATAGTGTACTGTAAAGAGCAAGAGAAGGGGAAGGAAGAAGAGAGAGGTAATGGAGGGAGAGGAGAAAGGACAAGAGAAAATTTTTTAAGTTTTTAATACTGTTGAAAATACTGGGAATGAGTAGAAAAAAACCAGAAAGGCAGTTCAATATTATTATTTCAGTTGTTTTAAAAATGAAAAATACTGGGCAATTTTCTATTTGGCATATATTTAAAAAAGACTTCATTATTTTCAAATCCAGCTTTTCGCTTTTGGTACTGTCCAGTAGACATCATCTGAATGCGTTTTAACAAAGTTTCCAGGGTTTTCCTCCTAGTACTGATCGAAATAAATAGTTTTGGAACACAGGGGTCAGCAGAAAATTCTACCTTGAGTTCATCAAAGCGCAGTGTGAAGTGAAGAATTTCTGCAAACTGTTTAGCAAGAGCCTGCTCTCGCTCTAGATGCTGGGTGGGAGAATATGGGGTACTGGTCAAGGCTCCCAGGAGGCCTCTCAATGCAGCTTCTAAGTAAAAGAAAATAAAAACATTAAATTGTTCGCATCTCTGGTAGCTGTTTATTATTTTAAATATTTTATTATTTAATTATTATTTTAAATATTTTAAATTTCCAAAATGTCTCTTTAAAAGTTGCTCTACACAAAATCAAACCAATTAGAGAAGTTAAAATTTTGCCACTGCTAATGTATTATGCTCAAACTAAACACTGTTTAATACACTCAAAATCCTAAAGTAGCTAATTCGATTTTAAAATTCCGTAAACCTAGATTCAAAACAATGCAGAATGTGACTCTGGAGTAAACATCCCAATCAAAAGTCAACTCTTGGGCCGGGATTTGGCTCAGTGGTTCTGCCACCTGCCTCAAGCGCGAGGGCCAGAGTTTGATCCCAGTACCAAAAAAAAAAAAAAAAAAAAAAAAAAAGAGGAAGAATAAATTTAAAAACCTAGCTTAACAACCTTTCTAAATATCTTTGGATATGGCATCTCAGGGATCATAATAAAAATTTTCTAATTCTAATAAGCAAACTAGTTCCTCTGAAATAATTCTCCTTTGGAATATGAGACTAATACTATGTTTAAAAATGGAAATAACGATATTTCAATTGAAGGAAATCATAAACATAAACTAATTCATGTATTTGTTACAGGGTTAGAAAACAATGCTAGATTCTACAAACAAAAAAAGACCTAACAGAGTTAAGTGGTAGCATAACATTAATAAAAGTCAAAATAAACAAATATTAAACGTTTAATAAATTTATGTCAGACTATCGGCCTTTAACTTAAACAATACCAGCTCTACTATTTATGAAGACCTAATTATAATCCACTCTGTACATTTAACATAGCCTTCTCATTTACCTGCTGCCACCAACCATGAAGGGTATTACAATGATAACCTGAGTTCAAAAGAAGCCAGAGCCCCAGGGTGTAGCTCGTACATGCCAGGTTCTTCTGATCTTAAAATCCACCAAAATAAATTGTCTTTCAGATGAGGCAACATTCTACCTAGCATTCTGAAACCTTATGAAGTATCAATATTACAAATACTGGGTACTTCTTACGTATCTATAATGTGCCAGACACTGTACTAAGCTAGATATTTCAGACATTCTCCTCATTACACAATAATAATCTAAATGACAGCCACTGTCCTCTTTTTCAGTAAATCAAAAAACCTGTTAAGAGTCTACACCAGGTCCTGGGGAAACAGATGAAGACACTATGACCTCAGACAGCCTTACTATGAAGGAGAAAGAAAACTGATGACAGGTGTAATATGTGCTGAAAAGAAGAATATGGGACAGAATACAGTGGAAAGAAACACAATGGGAGCACTGAAGTCTCCCTGAATAAGTGACAATGCGCTACGACTAAATTGTAAGCTAAGAATGAGCAGGAGTTTGCCAACTAACAAGGCACGGAGCCAGATCCGGAACTGAGAAGAGCATGAAACAGTTAAGAAATGGCAAGAAAACTATATAGGTGGAATAGAGAGGGAAAGAAAGGGAGAAACCAAAGATTAAGACAAAATGAATACCATATGTGCCAATTAAGCACCCTGATCGTGTCATCCCAATGTCCCTGGAGAAACCATTTAAGAGGGGTAGTGACAACATCAAGGTTAGCGCTTTAAAACCTCATTCCGTTTGCAGTGGAGACTGGACTCTAGAGCATAGGTAACTTATAAAGGTATAAGTGTAGATATGAATAAGATGAATTAAGAAGAAAAATGTTTCTGGTTTTTTAGAAAAAAGTTTGTTTCTCCCAAGATTCATTGCATGTGTCAGTGTTAATGTACATGGAAGCAAAGTCTGTGAGACAGGGGAACAAGAAACAATATTATAATAAAGAAACAGTTACAGGATATTACAAGAAAAGTAAATTTGTATACCTAGATATGATTAAGCCTCAGGGTTGATTTCAGCATTCCAAGTGTTCTACCACTTCAGGGAGAGGGAGTGGTCAGTTAGGTGCTTCGGCCAGTGAATGGAGCTGCAGAACTTCTGTTCAGAATAGCTGGCAGTCTCAATGGCAGAACTACCAGAAAAGGGAAGCCTCACCCCTGTAGGCCTGTGCTGACATAAGACAGTCCCATTGGCCCACAATGCCCTGCCACAAGACAGCAATCCAAAATGAAGCGTCCCCCAGAAGGTGGCCGAGTTGGAAAGGGAGGTCAAAGAAGAGATGATTTAGGGACTGGGCTAAGAGGAAGCTCAAAGCCACATGGTTACAATTTTCAGAAAAAGTATAAGCAAAGTGTCTACCAATCCTTAAATTCTGAGACATAAGTGGTAAGCAGCTGCCCCATAGCAGGAGTCAAAGCTATGCTGCAGTCAATGATGCTGCAGGAAAAGATAACTGGGAGGAACAGAGACAAACTTGTTCACAGGCTAGAAAAAGCAGGGGAAACAATGAAATAACCAGAAGAGGACCCTGCAAAGAGTTCCCTTCAGAGAAAACAGCCTTCTATCCTCACCAACTGCCACCTCAAACAGCAGCCCTGGAGTCCTCAGAAGAAAACCCAAAGGATGTGCACTAGGGAGGACTCAAGAAAGTTAACAAACATGACCACAATTGCTACGGCACTTTTAAACCAGTTTTGATAAAAGCCCATTGAAAATAACTCAACACATTAGATAAGACTTGGTCATTCTTTCTCCTGGAGGCAGTACTTAAAATGAGCCCCTGGAACAGACGGAAGACTGAGGCAAGACAGAACAGTATGCCTACTGCCTGATCACACAACATTTCCCATAGGCTGCTGCTGCAACAGGAACGACTTGAAGGCCTCCCAACAAGCAAGCCTAAGAAGCTTCTCAGGCTAGCCTAAAGAAACCCTGTCAGAAAAGCTCAGCATCTTCCCAATTAGTCAGATGACAGCTCCCTGTCCATCTACAAATATGCAAGCCAGCGGAAGTAGCTCATGAGTCTGCTGGACACTGTCACAATCGTGCCGCTGTGTGCTTGCTGTACAGTGTGACAACTACTAACTGGAGGAGACAGGGTAGGTGGGAGAGGGCAGAGCTGAAGGATCATCAGCAAGAGAAGATGGAAGGCAAAATAGAATTTCACTCCCACCAGATGCTGACACAGGTTTCTGATGGTTTCAATCCTGTCTACACTTGTGAAAAAAATGATCCTGTGATATCTGTGTAGTAGTTCTTTTTTTCTCATCGTAGACAATTCGACACTAACCTCCCTCCTCCAATGAGCAACTCTCCTCTTATCAGCTCATTCTACGCATCCCCTATATGCCAGGTGTTGTACTGTACCACCATTTTAAAGTAACTGTAAAAGTAAAAATACCTTATTTACAGTATTTTTGCTGTTTGTGTATTTTCCATTGTGTATTTTCATCAAAGGTTATAAGTCACACTTTGTCCAACTTATGAATGAACCCCAGAACAGAGCTCACTTGTAAGTCGAGGACTTATTGTATTTGATATATCAAATGTGCGTATCTGTTAATATGTCACTCACTCATTCAACAACTATTGAGTGAGTCAAGCAAGGAAATGCATCTTCTTTGCAAGGAAACCAGAAAGTTACTAAGATGACAGTAATCCATTAGATCCTAAATTGTACTTTACTCATAACATTCCAGAAGTCTCTAGAACACAATAACGAAGGTTCAAATCCCCAGAACAACAGCAGGAAGACTGACAGCTGTGTTACTGTATCTCCCTGCCGAAATGGAAGAGTACTCATAATGGGACACACATCACCAGGCTGATTTATCCAGTGGTTAAGATACAGGAAAGCATTTAAGTCCAAACAGGTTGGCCTATTTTCCAATTATTCTCCTATCACTGATATATGCTAACAGCCTAAGATAGCTGCAGTAGAAATCTAAGCCTTTTATGTGGTTTTTTTAATACAATGAAATACTACTCTGCCATAAAGAGGATAAACTTAAGACCATACTTTTAAGTGAAATACATTGGACACATAAGTTTAAATGTTGCATTCTCTTGTGTGAGAAACTGAAAGTGTGAATAAGGTCCAAAATGGATGACAAACATTGGGAAATATGAAGGAAATGTTCAAATGGGAAGGGGAACAAGGAAGGGAGAGAGAAGAGGGAAGGAAGGAAAATAGAAAAAGAAAAAAAAACAACAAGAAAATCATAGAAACAAAGCTTTTGTAAATAAGAACAGGAAGAAGATTTGAAGGAAAGGGAAGGAAATGGGGAAAAAAAGAAGAATAAAGCCATATCGTGTATAGGCAGAAATTCCCTATGATGAAAGTGATCATTATGTACATCACTGGTGTAGCCAATGTTATCTTTAAAAAAAAAGAGACCCTAAAAAAAGAAAGAAACCTAAGCCTTCTCAAACACTTGAACTACAAATACAACTAGAAAGTAGCAGCATAAGACAAACTTTCAATATGTAATCACCAAGATATCCAAGATTAAGAGACCTCGGGTGACAGGTTACAGAGGGTAACAAAGCTACAGACTACACAGAAAAAGAACCAAAAAGCAAATACTGTAATTGTTATACTAAAAAAAAAAAGTTACAACGCAATTCTTATTTATAGTAAGCTAAAGGTAACTTATACCAACCCTTCTATTCCAACTTCTGGTTTACATTTAACAGTCTAGTGGACTCCTTTAGTTATTAAAATTTTTGTATTCCAAATTCTGGTTTACATTTAACAGTCTAGTGGAATCCTTGAGTTATTAAAATTTTTGTGTTCTTAAAAATCATATGAGAAAGGATTAACTATAGAATTTGACACAAACTCTACCAAATGCTTTCTAATACAAAGATTCTTTAGCACGCAAAGAAATCAAAGAGATTCCCTTGTGGAAATTTATAATTTGTAAGAAAATGGTGTAAATAATTCAAAGGTCACTGTAACCTTACAGCCTGGTTTATTTATATATCAGATATTCAGTCCAATTCAGTATTGCAAACATGAAATAGTCTAAATTAAACTTCTGGCCTTAATGTTTTTCACTAAGGAGTCATAATTACAAAACTTTCAACTTACCTAACCTCTGAGAAAATTCATAAAATTTCTTTAATTTGCCTACTAACGGAACAACTGCACCCCATGCCTTCTCTTGTAACTTCTCATCTGCTGGATGCTGGATTGCCTTTAAAATCCAAAGAATAAAAACAGTTAAGATTTGTTAAATCAAAATAATACCATTTTATATTAAAATACAGGAAATCCTTTTAGTAGTTCTTCAACAGGAAATTAAAAAGTTTGGCAATAAATGAAGATGACAAACCCTGGGAACAGGTTAAGAGACAACCAACGCCTAGACTAGCTCTAAGAAACCTAGCAAACACTTAGAAGCTTAATTTATCTGAAAAGTATGATTCAGAAACTGTCACCGATGCTTACTCCCTGTAACTAAAAATCCTACTCTAGATTTTAAGTTCTCAGGCTTTCCTCAGTAAGATGACTGATTTCAAATCTGAAAGAGGTAAAAAGAGAACATAATCTGGAGACCCTTAATACAAATATGCTTTTATCTAAACCAATCTTATAAGCTGTTAGGCAACCTTTTCTGAATATCAAGGGTTATTCCAAATAAACCTATTCTTGCTTCTACCTTTCTTTGGGATTAAAGATGCTTTTTTAATCTTTTATAGAACATAATGCTTTTCTTTCTCTAATATTAAAAAAAAACTTAAATACATCACCTGAAGTTGAAATTCATAATCAAGGTAGAGGTCTGCTTATAAACATTACTAGGAGGTAATGACATGTTTAGATTTTCCCAAGACATCACCACCCACTCCACACAAAAGAACGTAATCAAGGAAAAAAAAAAAAACTGAACAAAGGTAAAGTTAAAGGGTTCTGTAAATAAATTGGCTACAAAATGGGCAGTAAATTGCTTGAGATTTATATATTTGTATTTACAAATTTTTATTTTAATAAAAATACCTAATAGGAACTTGAAATCAATCTTATGTGACTATCTAGAAATATTGAGGTAGTAAAGAAAATCTGACATCACACCAACATAACACTCCTAACATGTCAGTCTCTGACATTATGAAAAAACTCCTTCTAGCCTCAAGCTCAGACTTAGTAATGTTTTATATCAAATAGTATAAATTTGTTTATTTTACTACTGAAGAAATAAACATTTGAAAATTAAAATTTCATTTACTTCTTAGGAGAAGCCCTTCCAACATTTTCTGCAAGGGGTCTAGCAATGATTTGCTAAAAATCAATTCATTCTCATAGTATGAAAATGAAAACGCTCCAGTAAATGGCTTTTGTTTCCTTGAACAGAGTATTTCTCTGATACTGTCTTCCTTGAATGTGGAACTAAGGGCGCTGGTGTTCTTTCATGACAAACATTTTTATGACTCTGCTTGAGCTTCTGATTCTTTCTTCTTTTGAATCAGTTTCTCTGCTGTTAGGCTAAGGATTCTGGTTAACACCCATTATAGTTTAACCAGCACAAAAGCACTTAGTAAATTTCAGCCAGTGGGTTGCTGTGAAGCAGGTACTTACTATAACTCACAGGATATCCCTACACACTAGGAAAGTACTTCTTTCCTTTCCCAGGGCTTTATCCTAGAGAACAGGGTATGCGAGCTTACAGAGCCTATCTTCACTCATATATTTTACAACATTAACATACCAGTGATCAGAGTCTCAGTTTATGTTAGCTGTGTTTCAAGCACTATGCTGTGTTCTTTACATGAATAATTTTTTTTGTTTGTTTGTTTTTTGTTTTGTGAGACAGGGTCTCACTATGTAGTTGAGACTAACCTGGAACTCACTATGTAGCCCAGGCTGGTCTCGAACTCACAGCGATCCTCCTGCCTCAGCCTCCCGAGTGCTGGGATTACAGATTTGTGCCACCACGCCCAGCACATGAATAACTTTTTATCTTCACAACAGCTCTGATTTGCTTCCACATTTTTGCTACAGTAAACAAGGGAGCCATAAAGGTTTTCACATTCATATTTCCTATTAAATTATAGTTGAGCTATATAGGAACATATTTCCAAAGATAGTAGTACTTGGTGCAAGAGTATAATAACCACAGAGTTCTTATTTTATGCATTATTTACTGTTCCAAATAACAGTATGTAGACAACCATTCTTTAGTATCACTTGCATTGAGATTATCTTTATAAACCAACCAAAACCTGACAGTAGTGTGCACTTACTAGCAAAAGCTGAACATTTTTTTCTGCTGTCTGTTATTTTCCACAGGTAGTATGATTTTTCACTCTCTTAAGCCTTACTAATTGGCAATATTAATGTCTTAATATTGATGACAGTTAATTAAAATTATCAGTTCTTTGTATATTTGGCATATATTCAGCTTTTATTTTTGTCGTCTTTTCTCAATTTAAGCTGAACTCCTACTATTTAAAAACCTTTTCTATTTATATTATCTCAAAGAAAATTTCTTCAAAAGTTCCAATTGTTAACATATTTGTCCCCCATTTACAGATTTTTTTTTAAAGTTTTCTAGCTTGTATGTTTTATTTATCTACTTCCCTGTCCTGCCCTTTTAAAAATTTGAGAAAGGGCCCCCTAAATTGCCAGGAATTTCGGACCTCCTGCCTCAGCCTCCCCAGTAGCTGGTGTGCACCACCACACTCAGCCCTTCTGCCTTACACTACACACACAGTCAACCATCACAGTTTCTCCTCTGCCATCTTCTAGGGCCTGCACTTTACTGTCTTCACTAGCACTCCACATCTCAGAAGAGAAAGGAAGCCGAATAGGGGCGATAAACCCAAAGCACTGGTCCTTGATGATCTCTGCATTACTCACTACTGAGAATAACAGAAGCAGAGGGCGGAGAAACAAAACAAGCACTACCCTCCGAAAGTGAGGTAACCAGAAAAAGATGAAGGCCCAGCATCTGGGGAATCTGATATTACAGGACAGCTGAGTAAGTAGGTGCTGAGGTAAGAGACCAGTAAAAGTGAAAAGAGAACAAACATAATTAAGAGGAGTAATTTATACAGTCAAGTTCCAGAATGGGATGGAGAATAAAGGTAAGAAATTAGTCTTAGTAAAAGTAGATGCAAAACAGCTTCTGAAAAATATAAAAACTACAAGAGAAGTGTGCTAGAAACCTGGATAAATTCAGAGGTTTGGAGACAAAAGCAGAGGGAAACCAAACCAGACTTCCCCGGAGGTGAAAGTCACTGGACAGGAGGGAGGTGGAGACGGAGGTGGAGAGACCAGCTGCCTGAGTGATTTCAACTTTCTCCCAGGGAGCTAAAGAGTAGAAAAACAGACTGAAGAACAAGCCATAGAAAGTTAGGCTCTTCTCCCCTCTCCCTAACTTAAAAAGTACAGCTAGTTCCCCATGGAAAACGTAAAGTTCAAATGTGAGAGTAAGCAATAAATAAATCAATCTTTAACATAAATTACACATTTATGACGTTTTCCTTTTACCCTTGTATCAGCATAACCACTTAGAAAATAATGCCAAATGATATTCTTTCAAACATACTTGATATGAAATGGAAACTTCTAAAGTTTAGAAAACACAGAAAATTAAAAACAAGTGAGACGACGTTGACTTTAGCCTACTAGAAAATGTGTAATTAAGCTTTACCTCTCGTATTTCATGGCCAGCTCCTCTGTATGACTGCAAGTCCTCCAAGATGCCTTCTGCATCTTTCAATACTACATTCACCTGATTATAAATTTCCTTCTCAGACTCTGTGGGCTGGGCATCTAAACAGCAGGGAAGCACAAGAAAATTTACAGTGGCATGAATTTTTAAAAATATACATAAACTCTAAGCAATTAACAATCCAAATTTCCACAGAAGAGTTACATTTTATTCAATGTTAACTTTGCCCTTCTTAAAAAAGATCAATAATTTTTCTAAAATTCTACATTTGAATAATTAGTCTCAAGTTTATAAAATTACAGAGAAGCAAAGAAACAGCAACTTTTACTATTTAACACTTAGATTATAAATCATAACCTGATATAATTAACCAATCTGAGAATTAGAATTAAAAATTTTAATCGACAGACATTTTCCATTACATTTATCACTATCACTACTATCAATTCATCAGTAATGATTTATTTTAATGCAACAGAAATGAAAACCTACTAAAATATCTAAATATCTTGTTCATCTACAGTTTCAGGCTGACATTATTTTCCTATAGTAATTTTATTTTAACTGGGTTTTAATAGAGGAAAAAAGTAAAAACTTTTCAAAAAAGTTCCTAGATGCTCCCTTTCCCTTGCGACCATTTTAAACAGTCTTGGCAAATCCGAGCACAGAAGAAAGGGAAGGTCCTGCATGCGCAATGAAGACTAAGTGAAGGCAGCAGCACTGAACTTCTCCGCTAATGATCTCAAGGTCAGTTCCTTTGCAGGGGAGCTCGTGACAGTTATAAAACTGCTCCACAATTCCTGAGACACTTTATACTGCAAGACAATTACAGAAATACTAAAGCAAAAACTGAGGCCATACACACTTGGGGCTAAGTGAGAAAAAAAATGAAGAAGAATTAGTTACAAGAAGGGACACAAACATACGGCCATTTTTACCACTTGTGGTATAAGCCACAGAACATATGCTAAAGAATGATGAAATCTGGATTTCTCTGCTAAATTTGAGGCAACAGAAGTTCTATTTTTACTAACTTAGTCATCTGTTTCTCTAAGGAAAAAAAATTTTTTTTTTTTTGGACAAATGTTTCTAATCATCTTTTCTTATAAAAAGGGTATGGCTCCACAAGAAAAGTGCTTTTCATAAATTTTTTGAACTATACCACATCCAATACTGCAGATAAGGCATAATGCACATAAAATGATAAACACTATGATTACCATAATGCTTTAGGGAAGAACTATGCTAGCACAATTCCTCCATGTTAAAGTTTTCTCTTGTGTGCACACGGGGGCAGGTCTGGGGATTTAGCTCAGTGGTTCCTCCACCTACCTCGCAAGCTCAAGAACCGGAGTTCGATTCCCGATACAAAAAAAAAAGTCTTATGCAGGGAAGGAGGCAGTCTGTATTTATAAGATGAATTAAGACTATTAGCAAATCTCATGGCCTACCACGCATGTAAAACTAGTATCCAGACTTTGTCTGTATCCACTTCATCTCCCTACAAACACAAAATAATCTATTTATGTCTTTCCCTGAAAATTTAAAAGAAACATTTCATATATAAAAGATAAAAGTAGGGGTTAAAGATGCCCTGAAACTTATTTTGCACTTGGGGGAAACCATACTTCAATTCTACCTATTGAGCCTGCCAACTAGCCAAAAAGAAAACATGCTCCAAAAATTAACAATTTCAGTATCAAATTTTAAATTCAGCATACATAAAGCAGTACTACAGCAATAAGAAAATAACATCCATGTGCAAAGCCAACTTTAAAAATTTGTGTTTCATGTTTCATTATTTTTCAAATTTCTTTTCAGAAATTATTTTATGTTAAAAATACTATGACAAAATAATTACATAAAAAGAGCTAATTGGAGTATTAAAGGACTGTGTTCAAAGCTGCAAGGGCATGATTTGGAGAAAACACTGATACTGCAGCTAAATGACTGGATTTTTAAAATCAGTCTGTCATTTTAGCAAGTAATACCTTTTTCACATCTTAGCCAGACCCTATTCCAAAGGTATTCCAAAGACGTTAAAAAAAAAGCACACTCATATAACTTTTATACTTACACCAGATGCAGCAGAAAAAAATGCTTTTTACATGCACAAGTGACAGTTTTATACTTTTCCATATGCAATTGTGGAACTACAGACATAACATCAATAGGAGACACATCTTATAGTTTGAATTCATGAAGTGGGAATTCATGACACAGGACAATATTTTATCTATTATGTATCAGAGACATTTGTGAAGTTTGAAAATACTAAAATATGTATTTGTGGTATGGTGACTAGCTGTTAACATAAAAATGTAATGCTGAGGTTTACATATAAAAGAAACATTATCAAGGAGACTTAGAAAGACCTTGTAGTTAATAGCTAGTGAAGGTTTCATAAGTACCAAGAAATTTAAAAATAAAGGAAAAGATTCAAGTTTCCCCAAGGGTGGAAAAAATACCCAACACCACACCAATTTAACATTTTTTAAACTGCCACAGGAAAGTCACATTTATAATTTTGAAAGCTGCTGAAGACTGCTGTAGAAACGAGACAAACAGAAAAGAGCAGACAAGTAAGCACTAATTTAATGAAAGCAAGACATGCAGAGGGCCAAACTACTAGGGAAGGAAAAAAGATTGTAAATAAAGCATTTTTTTCCCCAAAAAATAATGTAACCAAGACTTGTCACTTTGATTTTTAGGAAAAAAGAATGGCTGTACAATTTCAAGAAAAAAGTATCACTTAGCCTGCTAACAAAACTGCAAAATAGTATTATCTACTTTTTACTCAGGCTGTTTTCAAAGCTGTTTGAGGATATTAAAGCATGTTTTAGTTGCGCTTACTGTATGAAGATAAAATTACATATTTTAATAATTTCACACCAATTTCCTACAGGGTTAAGGTATAGGAGAATTATTAAAAATAACTAAAAAAACAAAGGTATTATAATTAAGAAATTAGTTATGAAAGGAAAAATAAAATCAAGTCAATATAAAAATAATTGTAATAAGAGGTTTTTCTGCTTTAACCTCTCATTGGTTCAACAAATATTTATAATTTATCTCCATAAGTTTCACAAAGGCAGGGACCAAAATGCATATAACATACTGCTGGTTTAACATAGAAACTGAGGATCTGGTGAATTTTCTATAATAAATACTTTCTGAATGAATGAGAAAGGACACCTATAAGTCTCCAGCATGAATTAAAGGAAGCTATTAGGCATTTTGATCTCTGAACAATATAATCTTATATAATTTTCTTTTTAAAAATTTTAATGCCACCAGAATAAAGTTATTTCCAAGAACATGTAGGGCAAAAGTAATTGAAAGTATGCGAGATAAAATGTATAAAAAACAAAGTTAGAGAGTGTGTATTAGCATTTTTAAATGAAGGGAGGAAACACAAAAAGACATGGGGAAGAAGTGTAGGAATCAATGGAAAGGCAGTGTTAAAAAAGAATCAGAGAAAGCAGATTTTATTTTCTTTATAAATAATCTATTACTTTTATTTTGATCTACCTTGATGCACACAAATCAACTTTAACAAATACTGAACTTCCATCATTTAGAAAGCATTTTGCTAAGGCCGAGAAGGGACACAAAAACAAAAGTCCTCTTCTTTCATGAACCAGAATTTAGTGAGTTAATAGATGCAATAATTATAGAAACTAAAGATGTCATGAAAATGAACCATAAATCAACCATGTTGTTGTTCTCAAACAGTAAAATATTCCAAGAAGGGGGAACGCTACTGACTACACAGGTCCCCATTCAGTGGTTTTTTGTTGTTTTTTTTGTTTTTTTGTTTTTTGGTACCGGGGACTGAACTCAGGTCCTTGCGCTTGCAAGGCAGGCCACCGAACGGCTGAGCTAAATCCCAGGCCCCATCCATTCAGTGTTTTTTAACACTAGCATAACTACTGCCAGATTTTATGGAGCACTTCTAGGCTTTTATCTTAACTGAACCATTATTACATAAAATAAAAATAAAACCTATTCCCTATCTACAGGTATGACTAGGGAATCCGTGCAGGTAAAGGACATTATATTTCACCAAACTGGAAATGACACTTCATGCCTGAAGAAGATGCTGCTTCTTTCTAGTGTCCTCCACTAAATAAGCTTGAAATATTCTAATTTACCCTCCAGTTTAAATACCTCATTGTCTTTCATGATGATGCCCAATCTACTCATTGTTCAGCTAGTAACTTCTGATCAGTATTCTGAATGTAATTTATGTAAATAAAATTATGGGTCTGCATCTCCATCTATCCAACCAAGAGCTTCTCTAAAGCTGGGGCTGTGTCATACTACCTTTACATCCCCAGCACCTACTGGTGGGCAGACAAGAGACAAACTACAAACGCACATTAAACAGAAATAAAAGCAGAATGGGAACGGGTGTAGGTTAAGAGAGTAATGACTTTCTTTAAAGACAGTTATCATTTTGAAAACTGTATGTTCCATGAAATCCTATTTCAAATGCACTGGGATACTTAATTTATACAACCTGATGCTAAAAGCCATGTATATCTGCATAGAATTATTTCTATATGACCCAATCATGAAGACATACTGGACTAGATTTCAACAATTAGAATAATGGTTATAATTAAATTATTCTATGGACCTGCACACTGCTTCAAACTAGAAATGAGCGAGGTAGTATTAACTACTGTATTTAATAAAAACAATGTGGCTTTATGCTGCATAATAATAAAAAACTGGCAAACCAACCATTCTGGCAATTTTAAGTCTCGTATAAAACAGTTTAAGAGAGGACTATCTGATAGGCCAATGTCTCAATGATAGCCTAACAATACGGTAAGGTTTTGCAAATGTGTACTTCCAAAAAGAAGAAAAATATGCAAATGGGTGAGAGAAAAGATTAAGAAAACATCAATGCTACAATTAAAAGAAAACATATTTAAAAATCTAAGAAGTAACAATGAGTAAACTCTGGTCTGATACAGAGTGAGTCTTCACTAAATTTCATTTACAGTATACTAGCAAGGTCAAACCAAAAGTTCTACGTTGGCTGGTGGAGACAAAAGTATCATTTTAAAATTTATGTAGCACACAGCTGTAA